GAATTACTCTCTGCCCCTTTGACCTCTTCTTTTGATTCCTCCCAGAACCTCCATTTTAATAAAGATGCCAGGAGCACCCAGATCTTTATCGCTCCAAAGGCTGCACTTCTGATTCTTCTTCTAGCTTTCTTTACCAAGCGCTAGCGCTAGACCTCCTACCTTTGGCTTCCTTTTATAAGCTGTCTATGGTACTGTTTGCATTTCTCTTCCCAGAATTTAGCACAGTTCCTGGCATATTCCAAAGTGAGGAAAGGGGTGAAAACACCATTCCATCACACGAGGTCTTCTGCCTCTGCTGGAAGAGGACAAACACCATACCATCAAGCACCAGACTACTTTTTAGGAAAGAGGAGAAAGGCCATTCCATCAAGTCTCCAGTCTTTGGGAAAGGGGATTAACAATTATTCCTTCAGCTCCAAGCAAGTGTCTACTCAACTGAACTGCAAGATTCCATCCAGAGACCCTACTGACTATGAAAATCCACTCAAACTCATCCCTCAATGACTAACAAACTCTCCCCAACCCAGCAATTCTGACTCTCCAGCTGTCACTCTATTCCTGCTCACCACTGCCTGATCTCTTATTTCTACTTCATCCAACCCCCAACCTCTTAAAATCCCACTCTAAAGTTGCCTATGCCTCCCACTGTTTTCTCTAGAATGTTTTCTCCACAGGCAACAAACTTACTCGATCCTCAATCTTTTACTTTTCCATTCCTTCTGTCTCACTAAGGCCTGGCTCTCTCCTGATAACACAGCCTGCCCTGGCCACCTTTTCCAGCAGTGGCTGGAAAATGCTCCCCATTGCCATTTCCAGATTCTCCCCCTGCCACTATCACTCAGTAATTTTTCCTCCTTTGAGGATCACTTCATACATATCTACTGCTCAATTTCTGCTAGCTGTTGTCTACTAAGCTCCAAGAGGAACTCCCACTTTTCCTTCCCTGATTTCAGCGCCAGGCTCACAATCTTTCTCTCCTCCCAACTGCCTGCCCTCACATTAGGGTGACATACACACTGATACTCCTTCTAACACCTTAACCTCTTAGTTCTTCAACTTAATGATTTCCCAAGACCTCTATCCCGCCTCAACCACAGGGATGGTCAGAGCTTTGATCTTGCCATCACTCACATGTTCATGAACTCCAAAATTTCCTTATCTGATCATCATATATTGGCATTCTCTCTCTCCCTCCCAAAATCAAATTCTATTCTTCATCCACACCACAACCTCCAAAATCCTGACCTCTCAGTTTTCTCCCAGGCCATCACCCTTACTCTAGCTACACTCCCCTCTCTTCTGAGAGGGTCTTCTTCCCTGCTCATCTCAAGTCATCCATATGCCAGTCTCCCATGAGAAGACTCGGCTTTTCTTGCAAGAGCAATCCCATCTACATGTGTAAGAGATGCCATTGCATTCTCTCTTCAGTAAACTGCCTTCTCCATCATCTCTACTTTCTCACCTATCTTAAATCTCTCCCTGTCTATTTCCACATTACCTACAAACACGCCTATCTACCCTATCCTTAAAACACCTTCACACCTGTATCTATTTCTGCCAGCTACTGTGCCATATCTCTCCTACCTTTTGTAACTAAATTTCTTGGGAAGGAATTGTCTCTACTGCCTCTCCTCTCATTTTCTTAACTTTGTACAGTCTCATTTCTGACCTCATCTCTCCTCTGATACTGCTACCATCTTGGATGGGGGGTATTATCTCATAACTGGATGGTTGCAACAGCTTGGTTATTCTGTCTACCAGACAGATAATCTTCCTAAAGTACAGACTTAAATATGGCATTACCCTACTCAGTAAACTCCAGTGACTCCCTATCACCTCCAGGATCAAATATAAAATCTTCTATTTGGCATTCAAAATCCTTCATAACCTGCTTCCTTCACCTTTCCATTCTTCTTACACCACACTACACCCTCCCCTCCATCCATGTACCCAACCAAGGCACTCCATCTCCCAACTCTGAGTATTTTCACTTGCTATTCCCCAAGTATGAAATACTCTCATCCCTTCTTACCTTTGCCCCATGGCTTCCCCATCTTCCTTTTAGATAAAATCCCACCTTTTACAGGGAGCCTTTCCCAATCTCTCTTAATTCTAGTGTCTTCCTTCTGTGGACTATTTCCTATTCCACATCTATCTTGTCTGTACAGTTATTTGCATGCACTCTCTCCCATTAGATCATGAGCTCCTCAAGGTCATGGACTGTCTTGTCTGTCTTGATATCCCTGCTGGTCAGCACAGTATATATAGGTGCTTAATAAAAGTTTACGAACAAAGTGACTGACATAGTAAGCCCTTGATAAATGCTTGTTGACTTGACTTGAAATATGATTAGAAAAGTAGTTAGCAGCTCAATTCTGGAGTGTTTTAAGATTTCAGGCTAATGGGTTTGTATTTTACCCTAGAGACAATAAGTAGCAATGGATGATTAGGGATGGGGAGGGTCAGATTTATGTTTTAGGAATATCAATTTGGCATCTGTTTGAAGGAGGGACTGGAGGCATCAAGACCAATTAGCAGGCTTTTGCAATAGTTGTGGCAAGAGATGACAAGGGTCTGAACTAAAATAAAGATGTGCATGAGTGACGAGGAAAAAAATTTGAGAGGTATGAAAATAGGATCAATAAGACCTAGCAATTGGTTGAATGGGTAAAACGGAAAAGGTTTAAAAAAAAAAAAAGGTGGGGGGGAGCCAGGGTTAACTCCAGCATCTGGTATCCTGAGTTTCTGCATCTCTAAAATGGGAGTGATAACTGCAAAAACCATCTCACAAGCCTGTTATAAAAATCAAATGGATAAAGCATATAAGATGTGTTGTAAACTTAACATATAATGCAATATCAATATAGCTAAATTGCTAACCCCCCTCAGATCTTTCTTACTTCTCAATCTTGCACTTGTTTCTGAAACCAAGAGTAAATAACTAAGCTCCCTGAGGGCAAGTAGCATGTAATTTTTTGTTTTTGTATTCCCAGTGCCCAGAACATAGTAGGCAATTTATCAAACTTAATCTAATATTATATTTTGCTGACCATTCTAACTTGCTGAAATCTTTTTGCATCTTAATATCCAACATGTGACTCTTAAAATTACTTTTTCATGGTACTTTTACCATTCCTTAACTTGACAGGCATTTTAATTCTCCTTTTCCCCCATCCTTTTCAATACCTACTCTACATCAAGGGGCGGCTAGATAGCAAAGTGGATAGTTTACTAGGCCTAGAGTCAGGAAGACCTGAGTTTAAATCTGGCCTCAGACATTTACTAGCTATGTGACCCTGGGCAAGTCACTTTACTCTGTTTGTCTCAGTTTCCTCATCTGTAAAATAAGCTGGAGAAGGAAATGGCAAACCACTCTAGTATCTTCACCAAGAAAACCCCCTGATAAGGCCCAAACTGAAAAACAGCTAAATAACAACTTTACCTTACTTACCCTTCTTCCTTTAGTTCCTATAAGGTCTAACGTTGCCACTCAAGATATTAGTTGATCATTCTGATAGCTCAAACTTTAGACATGTATTTGCCTAAAAGTTCTACATGGAAAACTAGGAAGGCAAATAAACCAATATGCAAACCACAAAGATCCCACTGTGTAAATAACAAATTAAGGATTATTAGATAAATTTCATATTGCTTAAATGATTTTTAAAAATATAATATAAAAATGACATTACTGTGCTTTCAGTTCTTAATAGCACCCCTAAAAGGAGCATACTTAACACATCTATTACTTTTCTTGATAATCTTGTAAAAGGTTCTTGAAAACAACTGACTATACTCTAACTCTTACTTAGCCCTTTTTTCCCCACTTCTAAATACAAGAAAACAGGATTTTAAAACCTATCGTTTCCAAAGCCTTCCTAGGCTAGGTAAATCACTAAGGAATAACAGTAAGAAATTCTAATGTGCAGCAGTGAATCAAATGTGTAGTGGTGGTAGAATATCTAAATTTAATAAAATTCCTAAGTACATCTAAACCTAAAACAAACAAACAAACAACCCCCCCCCCAAACTTCTGATACAGAAGAGCTCAGACTTGGTTCCACCAATACACATTTTGAGTTACTTTTTTTCTTCGGGTCTCCTGATTTCCAGAAGAGAACAAATGCTTAAATAACTGCACATACCAGGCTTCCTTAGTTTAAGAGTGTAAAGGATGGCATCTTTGAATAATAAATGCTTCCTTTTCAGGCTCATCTTGAAATAATTCCTTCATTTGTTTCCTCAAATACATTTCTGGGTTGAGTTTGGGATTTTGAAAGTTTTGATCACTAGCAATATTAGATTTCTTTCTAGCACCATACATTCATGCTTCTGAAACCCAAGAAATTATTTCCATACGTGCATGAAGACTTTAAGAAAAATCAACTACAAATCAGGTAACGTGCACTTTAGGTAAACCACAACAAAAATAGTAAACACAAACAAATGCGTTGGCTAAGTATGGGAGCTTTCTGATATGTCTTCAAGTCACTTACTCCCTATATTAATCTCAAAGAGCCAACATTTTTAGATGGAAATTCTTAATCATCTCCCAATCAAAATTCTACCAAACTTCGGAAAATTACAAGTGTACTTGCAAAGTCCTGTCCTCCCAATCCAGAGGTCTTTGCTGTCCCAGGAGGGACCTGGCTGAAACCGAATCTGGCTTTCAATAGGGAAGAGAGTAAGAAAAGCTTTTTTCGGCCTCGCTTGGCTCGGAGCACCGCAGAAAAGAGACAGCAGGAGGCAAAACAGCCCGGGGTACCTCGACTCCCTCTCTCTGTACCCGCTCTGGTCCGCAGAGACGAACGATCTTCGGGTCAGAGCTTCAGTTCAGAGACACGTCTCTCTCCCGAACCCCACTTTACCAGGGAAGTCCAGGCGCCCCCCGGCCAGGAGCCAGGCTGAGGCCTTGGGGATTCCCCCCTAGGCCGGACTGACGGCGTGAAGGCCTATCTCCGGCCAGGCGGTCGCCTGCTACTCCTCGGGGCCTGACCTACCTCGGTATCTTCTTTGGACTGCGGTAGGGTGGGAAACTCCAACTTCACGTCCTCCATGGCCCCAGCCGGTCGGCGCGGTCTAGAGGGCCGGCTGGCTGTCCAGCCCGTGACCCTCAGGCAGGCTGTGGACTGCTAGCGGCGGCTGCAGCGGACGAGAGGGCCGGGGATGCAGGCTGGCTACTGACACACGGAGGCCACTAGCTCCCGGCGACTCCAGTGGAGGTGACGGCGGCGCAGCTGAGCGTTGAGTGGCTCGTGCTCCGCCGCCATGCTGCTCCTCCTCACTGCCCCCCACCCCCCACCCCGCCCCTTCAGCCACCCGCACCCCTAAGCAGCAGGGCTCAGCCCGATACCGCCGAGGCAGCGCCGGACCTACCTCCGCCCTCCCTCTGCCCGCCCAACCAACGCAGGAGCGCGCAGAGTGCCGCCCTCCCTCCCGCCTCCAAGCGTCACTGCGCCGGCTCGGGCCACGCCCCTCCCCCAGCCAGCCGGCGGAGCTGACGTAGACGCGGGCACTTCCTCCTGCGGCAGGCTGCTGTTGGGGCTGCCCCGCAGGCGGCCTCGGGAAGGAGGGCTGAGCCAAAGCTAGGCCCGGCCGCATCGCGCTTCCTAGCCCGCAAACACGAAGTTCCGTCTTTACCTGATTGCCTTGCTTAACAGATGCGGTCCCGAACGCCTGGCAGTTTGTTAAAATGCCACGCAACAGGATGACCCCTAATAAATGGGAAAGGTGAGGCAATAAGCCCAGGAACTTCTGGTGATTCTTGGTATTTTTTCTCACAATTTGTGCCGATTGCACCACCTGCTTCCCACCTTGTTTTACGCATATTAAGAGTTTTAGCCTGAAGTATTTCCATTCCAGTATTTCCATAAGAGTACCAAAGAACTAAATTCATTTTTATTAACTTTAGTACATCTTGAGAGGCAGCATAACCTGAGTCACGAAGACAGGAGTTCAAGTTCTCTGACACTGGCCTTATGACTTGGGGCAAGTCATTTAACCTTTCGGCGGCCCCAAGAAACTCTCTAAGATAATAAATTGCCAAGCAGATGCCAGATCTATATTGGTAGATGATGTTTCTCTACCAGATCTCTAGAAAAATTAAGTAAGTCTAGTAAAGATCGGGCAGTAACGTGAGAAAGGAGTGTAGGGAGATAGCTGCAGCTGAGGAGAGCTCCTTCACCAATGCAGATGGGCAACTAACTACTGCTCTTTACTTTCCAATCTCGAGTTTCACTGAGAAATGACCCTTCAGGCTGCCAATATGGGTCAGTCAGACCTTGAACTTTTGTGACTAACCTCTGGTCTGATTCCAGACTGACTTTTTTTTCCTAATGCCCATATTCTTCCTTGTTTTTCTTATTTATATTGATTGCCTAAAGTGTCTGAAGAAAAAATTAAATCCCATTTTCCCTCAGTTACAGTAACTGTGGCAAGTAACTGAATAGAGGGAAACGTATTTGGACCAAATAACTCAATTTATGTTCACAAAGAAAGGGAGGTCATTTGGTCTATCCTTATTTTCCAGAAAGGAGGCCAAGAGTTAAAGTGATTTGGCCAACATTATACCAGCAATAGGTGATAACTTGATCTTTTTCTTATGTTTTAATTAGAAAATAATCCTAAGAAAATTTAACAGGTTACCAAAACATTAAGTAGTTTGCATTTTTTTCAAGATGTAGTACCTTATATTTTATGTAACTGTTGAGGAAAAAGGTTACCCCTGGCTATTAATGTTTTATTATGTCATCATTGGGTCAGAATCTTTCAAAAATAGCCAACTCAAAGTAGAACGTCTCATGAAAGTAATGATTTAGCTGATTTTTGCCTATTCAAGCTAATTAACTAAAGTAAAATTCCACCACTTTCTGTGAGGAAACAGCAGCGGGGAAAAAATAAAATTTTAAGGATAGATTCATACATATCCAGGATGATCTGGAGTCAGTCTCTGAACCCATCCCAAGCAGGCTGGTGGTGAAAAGAAGCAACACTACTAAAGGCACTCTACCCCCTTACTTACTATCTCACCCCCCACCCCCCAGCCCCAACTCTAGTCTCATGGCTATCCCAGAATCAGGGACAGCCCAACATTGGCAAGAACTACCATTGCCAGGGATACCTTCCCATCTTGTCTTTCCTCTTCACTCAGGCTGCTTGACTCAAAGAGCCTGGATGCTATGGGAGTATCATTTGTCCTTCCACTGCATCCTGAGAGCCTCTACACCTTATTATCATCTACTCTACTTCTATTCCCTACAGTCCCCAGGCACTGCCATTTTAACTACCTACTTAACCTAGGAATCTCTGGGCCTTGGAAACCAGCCCCATTCTTGCACACTTAGGACTTCAAGACCTTACCATCTACTCTGTGTTCTCTTCCACTGTGAGCTTCTGTTTTACCATTTGTATCACATAATATGCCTAATAAATGTGTTTTCATTCGTTTGCACACATAATACATCAGGACTGATTAAGGCTAGTCTGGTTACATAGGTTTGAAATTGGGGTAAATTGAGACACTTGCAGAATGTGTAACAATTAACAAAAAGGTTTACTTAGCCTTGGCAGAGGAAGGAAATTCAGAGCAGGAAAAGGATATTCAGCAAAGATACAGAACTGATTCAGTTGGGCTCAGTTTTACTGCTTCCATGTTACTCATGATGATCTGAGGTCAGAAGCCTGAGAAAGGTGCCAGGTGACTAGTGCTGCCCCAGTTTTGTATTTATGGAACCAGGAATTAAGGTCTCAGTACCTTTTTAAGGAAAAATCTAGCCCTTAGAGGGGTAGGACCTTAAAGACATTGCTCCTAATGCAAGTATTCATTTTAATTAAATGAATTACCACTAAGACAGTACTGGGAATACAAACTATTTGCTTTAGAAAATGTATTGGTTAAATACTATTAAGTGGCTTGCACTGTAAGCAATCCCAGTGTATTTTCAACCTGCACCCCTTTCTACCACTCTTTATGTGTGGAAGAGCTATGATCACAGGATCATAGATTAAGAGCTAGAAGGGATCTTAGAGGTCACATAGTCCAACATGGAAGAGATTTTTTAAAAAAGGGCACACAATATTTAGCTAATGTTTGAAGGCCGATTTAGTAAAACTGCAGTTTTGAGTAAATGATGCTAATAAACTAGGTTTCTAACTAAAATTATCATTAGTTTTTCTTTTTCAGCCTCAGCATTTTCAAACAGTATCAAGTGACATATTTCCTTGTAGCCTTTACTATCTTATCATGGGGAAGATCTGTGTTTAGAGAAAGTCTTTTTGGGTCAACAGCTAGGAATATTCCCTAAATACATTAAGACGTGCTCAATTAGTAGGCTGTATTACCTTCAGGTACAACCAAAGTACTGAATTCTTTTGTAGTCTAATAACTACTAGAAACAAAAACAAAAACCAAACACTTTAAATCTCGGTGGGGGAAGAAAAATTTCCCCCCCCAATTCAAGACTTGAGAGGCATAATAATGCATTACAATGTAAATGAGAATCCATGATTAGTGACAGTAGGTTTTGCTTTAAAACCAATTTTTAAAGCCCTCAAATTCAAGAGACACTGATTTGGGCTGTCATATATATAGCTTACCAAAGATCCCAAAAAACTGTGACAAATGTACTCTCAGCCAAGGCTACTATGTTAAGAGGACTGAATCAAAAGAATTTTATTCAACTCTTTGGGATGAAGAAAACAAGTAAAATAATATAAAATGTCATTTAAGAAATGTTCTTTTAAAACTGATACCTCAAGTCATTTCAATATATTACAAATTGCCCACAAAGTAACTATTTCAAAAATCCTTATCCATCATTTAATTTGCTGCAATAAATGCAACATTGACAAAATGTCTTTTGTGCCAGTATTGTACAGAATTAATGAGTTATTACTTTATATGTAATATGCTTTTAATGAGATCATATCCAATACATACATTATTTTCCTCAACTTTATTTTTATATTATGCTAATGTCTTTTAAGAAGTATAACTTAGACAGGTTTATAGTCTAGTTTAGATTCCAACTTCTTAGAATCAGCCACTTTCCTGACTGCTTTCATGAAATCTTCCTGTACTACAAAATCATGATCAGCACGAATTGCAAACATACCTGTGAAGAATAAAGTAACAATTAAAAATTCAGCTATTTATTAAGGTATTTCATTTTTTCATATTTACTTTTTGTTATAAAGTACTAACATTTTTAAATAAAATTTTTTTTCCAATTAAGGAAAGTCTACCTTTTCTCCCTCTCCCCTCCCATTGAAAAAGGAGGGAAAAAAATCCCAAAACACTCTTCTTATAAACATCAAGTGAAACAAATTGCAGCATAGTTCATGACCCCCTAAAAAATATGTCTCAATCTATACTGAGTCCATCATCTCTCTATCAAGAAGTGGGTAGCATATTTCATCATGAATCCTCTGGTATCACGGTTAGTAATTGTGTTGCTAGACATTCCTAAATCTTTCAATGTTGTCTTTACAACAGTGTTGCTACTGAATAAATTATTCTCCATCAGTTCATATAAGTCTTCCCAAGCTTCCCACCCCATCTTTGTCAATTCTTTCAGCACGATGTATTCCATTCCATTCATATACTGTTAAGTTGTTGTTCAGCCATTTCTCAATTGGTGGTTACCCCCTAAATTCCCAATTCTTTGCCACTGCAAAAGGAGATATTACACATACTTTTGTACAAAAGGGTCCTTTACCTCCTGCTTTGATCTCTTCAAGGTATAGACTTGATAGTGGTATAACTGGGTCAAAGAATATGCACAATGTTTGTGCCATAGCTCCAAACTTTTCCAGAATGGCTGGGTCAGTTCATAGCTCAATCAACAATATATAGAAGGACTTGTTTTTCCACAGCCCCTACAGCGTTTGTCATTTTCCTTTTTTGGTAAACTTTGCCAATCTGATGGTCTGACACAGAACCCCACTGTTATTTTAGTTTGTATTTCTCTAATAACGCTTTAGAACATTTTTTTTTCATATGGCTATTGATAGCTTGAATTTTTTCCTTTGAAAATTTCCTTTTACCATTTGTCAACTGGGAAACAGTAACGCCAACATTTTTA